TCCTGCTTTCCCGTTGTCGGAGAATCGGGTCTTAAGGACGGTGAAAGGATCCATTGCGTGAGAGCTTCCGACGGTGAAGTTGTTGTTATACGAGGAGAAACGATGCGTCAGTTCAGCACCTATTGCCGTCGTTGGGTTCACTGTGTGGACGTAAGAAGCTTTCAGCGTCTCTCCTTTGTCCGCCCTACAATCATCCACGAGCCAAAAGCCGAAACCCGATTGATGAAATGAACGTGCATGTGAGATTCGTCCAATATATTCATGAATAATTACTACTACTTACAGTATGAGTGCTGCAGAGAAGTCTAGCTTGTTCAAGGCGATCCCTGCGTTGTACTTGGTTAGTGAGGCAGAAGCTGAGTCAAAACCCACTTCACCTCCGAGGCAAAGATCTTGACTTCCAATAGTTGCTGAAAGATCTAGCAGTGGAGTCGGGTTCAGGCCAATTCTAGAACTGATCGTGGCATGTGGATGAACATATTGCACATCCAGCTGAAGTGTGAACAAACAAACGTCACCAGACTTGTCATAAAAAGGCCAAACACCAATCAACCGATTTGACTAGCATTTAATCCTGAGATGCATAGGCAAACCACCATCTCTACAGCCGATATCAAGTAATCAACTAATGATGCACTGACCTCGCCAGACTTGTGATCAGGTATTCTAAAGCTGATAGATGCTTTGGCAGTAGGCAAGAGATTGTTGACAGTAACTTTTGTTGACACCTGCACAATGAATTTCAACAACATGGTTCAATACAGGCAAGGTAGACAAGGTTTGAAGCATACTTCAATCATGCTTTCTTACATTAGAGTAAGTGTCGATTTTCATATCAACAACAGTATTTTGACCTTTGTACACAGTGCTTAAGTCACCAAAGAAGAATTCATCCTTCTTTAACCCTGTAGCCACAAGTTCCTGGCAAGAAAATTCTATTAGACGGATAAAGCACAACCGGAGGAATTAGGATCATAACGTTCAGGCATATATAAGTTAATGCCTTAATGGTAAAAAAAAAATAATTCAAATAACTTTTCCTAGCGGTTGAAACCAAAGGCAAATATACATAACATGATCCATAAATATAGAAAACTAAATTAACGTAACATTCTCACCATCTTATGACACATTGATAATTTGATACCCATGCATAAAAACCATGTATGTATGGTAAAATCATATATGCCAGCTCTCAAAGCTAAAGTTCAAACGAAGTATTGTGGCGGTTATGCCACCCCAAAGCATGTAATCCAGGAGACCAGAGTTCCCCCATTTCGAGTAGAAATTACTGTTAATCTCATCTCATTTAAGGTGCTTTTGCAACGGTTCACGACTTTGGGTAGCTGAGAATTCTGTAATCTGGGATGTGAGTTCTGTTTCGTAGAAGATTAACACAAACCCCAGAGGCAAGATTGAAACATACCATTCCTGTGGCACTCAGCATTGTCAGAGTAAACTTCTGGTCGAAAATGTAATCCTTGTTCAAGAGATCTGTAGGTTTTTGGACAGTCAATAGAGGTACAGAAAAAATCACCAATATACGGTTACAAAAGAGTTTTCAAGACACAAAGTTACCTTTGGCTTTCTTGCCAATATCTGCAAATGGAGCCGGACTGCCTCCCATCTTCAGAACAGCCAAAGGAACACAGCGGCAGTCTGCCAAGATATCAATGGAGAACCATAAGTCCTCCGGACAGGAACCAGAAATATCAAAGGTTATAGTAGAATGCCTATAATCCCAGTATTTCCCAATATTTCAGAAAATGACTGAATCAAGAGCCGAACCCACTTGAGATCCAATCTCATAACAAATCACTGCTCGACTTCAAGCAGAGATGGCTGCGGTGATCAAACTGATTCTGGCATACTATAGAAATGCGACTCCAATTGAAAAAAGAAAACGAACGTCTATACATTTTACACAAAATCTTTACCATTCGAATCATAAAACAAATCAGTTTCTACCATGTTTTCAATCCAATTTCAACTAGAATGTTCTTGAATCCCGTATCTGCACAAGAACGGATGTAATCGCTTCCAATATAACACGACAGATTGCAAAAGCCATCAGTTAAATCGATCTGCATCAGCTACAAATCTTCGACAAGGTAGAAAACCTCCAGCTCTAAGAGATTAAAAGTACCTCACTAACACAATTCAGCAACAAACGGAATACCGCAAGGATCATACCGGTCGATAGCAAATCCACAAACCCTCAATACTCGTATCGTGTAATCACTCGAGAAAACAACGATAACATACTGATATAATCAAAGTCTTCGAGTAAGTCTCTGCAGATCAATCACCCTAACTCGTTTGGCTTAACGCACATAGTCTATACGGGGATCACACTTGCAAAACAAGAAAAAGAACGAAAGAGAGGGAAAAGATCCCTTACGAAACTGAAAGATCGAGGAAGAAAACCAGAGCAAAGACAGCCAAAACCCGCTGACGATCACCGGAAAAAGCTCCAAGAGCTCTGCCGCCTCGAAGACTGAATCAGGCGACGGCGGCGAGTGAAAGAAAGAGACAGCAGCACTGCAGTAGCAGTAATGGCCTCGAGAAATGAAAGAGGAGACTCGGAATGGGTCCAAAAAGGCCAGAGAGCAATGATAATGTCACTGGGCGTTGAGTTTTATCAGATAACACACCAGAAAAAGCTTTTTTTTTTAATTGGACTGTGATATAATATGGGTCACAGGCCTTGAGGTATGGAGTTCGTGAGGCCCATTAACGCGAGAAGCGCTTGTTCCAGCTGTCTGTGCCCGTTTGGGGAAATATACGACTGCATATTATATAGTTACATTGTATTCAATATACAATACTGCACGGGCTCAAAACTATAATTTATAATATTAGAAATTTTCACGATAAAAAGGAAATTAGAATATTGTGTATGTGTAGGGCGCTTTCATTGGATCTTCTATTTATGGGCCACGATGCATAATAAAATAAAATTAAAAAACCCGCATGTATTATACCTCGTTTTGTTCAGTCCTTAGATACATCAGACATGTTCATCCCTCCCAGAAAATGAATTGAGATTTATAGAGCATTATGGATCAGAAAATAAATAAAAATAGAAAACAATGAGGTATGTATTATAACTAATTAATGGGCAAATCAATGATTGCCATATTCAAGGTATATGATAGAGTTTGGAGGGCTTGAGATTGCTGGTGACATTGAAGAAGTTCAATGTCCGTATCCACTTCTCTTGGTTCTTCAGCAAATGAACGGCGATAGTGTCCGGCCACAGCTCGTGGGTGCACCTCGTAGGCGGCTCGGGGAAATTGTACATCGACCACTTGGCATTGAAGCGGTTTTTGCCACGTCGACCCTCTCTGATCCAATCTCCGAAAACCTTGTCCTCGGGTCCTTCGATATGTTTTTTGGGTATGTCCGAATCTCTCAGCCATTCCACGATGTCCCACGATACGAGATATCCCATTCCGGACATGTAGTGGACGAACGGGTCCATGCTCGGACATGGAATCACATAGCCGTAATAGAGATCGTCTCGTGGCAGTCGCCTCAGCGATTCGACAAGGCTTTCGAGCCGAATGTACGTGTCGTCGTCCGCTTTCATTACGTAATGGTACGGTGGATTCGGGCCGTCGGTGTCGTTGAAGAGATCCGGTAGGCTCGAGAAGTAAGTGTATGTCTTTCCTGCACATGTTCCAACGATTATTTCGAGGGTTCTGAATTTAAAAAAGAAAAATGCAAGACCCATTTCATTACAAGCAGAGGAAAAGCAAACTCTAGCCCAATGTGAGATCTGGCAATCTATTGACATTGTCGCAAGGAGTTTGACTGAGATTGACTTTGTTGTGTCATAAACTGTCCCGCTCCTTATTTCTTCCGGTTCATAGTAGCGACCATGACGATAATAATGTGATAGAACTCGTGATGATAAGAAACGCGCACCATGAAGGAGGTTCAATTCTGATTATTTGGCACTGATCAATATAATCATTTAAAAAATAATAAAAATTCGGCGTTACCTTTGTTCATGTTTTCAGGGCAGTTGAGAATGACGATGTCGTCGTAACGCATGATCTCCAGAGCAACGAGCACCTTCTGATCCTCTTTCGTCAGGTTGCAGAACACGAACTTCACGTCGATTTTGGCGCCATCCGGTGGAGTCTGAGTCCCGTAGACCAGCCGGAGGAAGTGTCGCCGCTGGTATTGGTCGGGCAGTGTCAAGATCCCGATCAGGATCCGAATCTCTTCCGCCGCGGAAGAAGAAGAGGAATTAACATTCTCCGACAAGAGAATATCCGAAGAAGAAGAAGAGCTGTTCTGGACGGGGATATTGGCGAGAGCGCATCGTCCGAATCTGAGGAAGCTGTCGAATCTGATCTCATTGATGAAAGCCAAGACGCAGAGCGCAACGATGAAGAAGAAAGACGGGATGATGAATTTCTGACCGTCCGATCTTGGCGATTTCATCTTATGAATTCTTCCCTCGCCTATATTCTCTCTCCCTCTGAGACTACAGAAGAAGATGGGATTTAATAAAAATGACAAATTTCTTTGGAGAAACGCAAAAAAGTTTTGATTTTTATGAGGAATCGTGGGTTTTTCCTTCTGACTTTATGGGAGCTCAAGGAACGTGAGCTGTGCTAAGGAAGCAAGCAGAGGGCTTTCAGTATTTCACGCCTCGTATCAAGTGGGTCAAAACAGGGATACGGACCGGTAGAAAAGCATTGGATCTGAGTTTATTGAATTGTTATTAATTATTAGCAATGGGTATGGAAAAAACAGAGATAGTGGATCGAAGCCTAAAGTTTGACTAAACTGTACTCTCTCTCTCTCTCTTTTTTTCTTCCTAATTTTAAAATAAAAATTTGAAAGATGGGTAAGTGGGGGAATGTAAAGTGGCAACGGGGAGAGTTGCATAATAGAATTGGGCAAGAACGTGGTCGGCTTCGAATTCCGGGAATAGATCTCGTGGCCCGCAACATTCTCATCCTTGTACTTTGTTTTGTTTAATCAGACCGTTGACCTCTTCCTAATAAACCCAGTTGGCTGTTTGGCTTTAGTACCTTCTTTTTCGGAACTTTGATTAATTTCTCACTTTAAAATTAATGAGAACAAACGATGGAAATCACCAGTGTTCAATGGCAAGTTATAGAGCAAGCAACATAGGAACCTAAGTGCTAGTTCCTTGAGGTATCTATCACTTCAGATATTGTTGGGCTAAGAAGGGAGGGATAGAAGCCTATTACTGCTGATTCTTAAGGCCCAATATTCAAAGCTTAATCATGAACCTATCATAGCAAGGTGACTAATTTTCTCATGTGATATTTTCCGTCATCGAATAAAAAAGTCACCACAAATTATATTCACTAATCAGTGAATTTTACATTATTCATGTATGTATGTATGTATGTATATATTAGCCAGAGTAAAACAGGCTCTATTAATTTAGATATCATCTCAATGATTTTCGCAGTTGTAAATCCATACAGAAAGTGACATTAAAATATATAACAAAGCAAACGACATATATCATTATTCATTACAGTGGATTTTAATGATAATCCGATCTGTAACAAAAGATTTGTGCCCCACAAAAGAAACAAATGATTGACGACGGCCAACCTCTCATAACATTAAAAAAACAAAGGTTAAGAGGTGACATCTCCGACGACCCAAACAAAAAAACCCGATCGTTACAAAAACAATAAAAAAAAAAAACATTATGAAACAATTAATTTAATTGAAGAATCTTAGAAACACCCCCAGAAAAAAGAAGAAGAAGAAAATATCGCTAAGGCGATCTGTAATCGAAGCTAGAATTATTATGGCGGTAATATTTAAGCTCCAAAGAGATTTGTCTCTCTATCTTAAGCTGCCTGTAAAAATTCGCTATGAACATCTCAGCCTTCTTGTCTATGTCCTCGTCCGACGACGGATAGCTCGCTGTTCTGTACAAGGCTCCTCTCTGCGTGGATGAACCGGTCGAGTCATCGCGAACCGGTTCGTATTCATCGGTCGTATAAGCCGCCATTAAACCGGGTCTGTCGTTGAAACTAAACCGACGAGACGAAGAAGACGAACCGATCATGGGTACCAGATTCCACAGACTGTTCAAATTGAACCTTAACACGAATCTCACCTTCTTCACTGCCCTTCTCAGCCGGTTTAGTATCGAACCGTCTTTGCTCTTCGCCATATATCTCTGTTATTTTCTAAAACTGTATGGACTTTTTTTTTGGTGGGTTTTGTAAAACCGCGGCTCTTATATAGGCAGGCAAAGATAATTATGTCGGTTCAATATATATATATATATATATGCGTATTACGAAAGCTTGTCAAAGAAAACCGCATGGTATATCATTTTTAGTTTGAAATAAACAGTTGTTATGGGTAGTTTCCTTACAAGAAGGAAGTTCTGGGAACGTTCACGTGGTAACGGAGACGTATCAAGGTGGGATACCGAGTGAAATTAAAATGAAACGTTAAGACTTGTAATTTTCTAAACGGAAATTGGCGTGCATGCGACTGCGGGACATTCGACGGCACATTAATATTCGGTTCCTCTTAAGTTATATCTTCCGGTCTATATGTAAGTACGTATGTGATATTTGTTTTATGGTATTTAATGGGTAATATAATATACAAATATGGAGGATGTAATTGGATCAGAGATATATAAAATGCAGACTTGGTCAACCTACACCCGCGTGTTTTTTTTTCTCGCGTTTGCTTGTAAGTTGTAACTTGTCTCAAGCCAGCTCGGTGTTTGTTGTTCTCTCTTTGCAGCGTATTTCTTTCTATTTTTCCCCTTTTTTTCAAATAAGAAAAAAAAAATCAAATGTTAATATTTTGGAATATTCGATATGGATATATTTTTTTTAACAAAAAGTTGAAAGAAAATCATGTCTATAAATCGTTTTTCAGCTTTTACATGTTTGATTGAATAACTGTTGTATCTGCCTACGTTTGTTTTTCCCTCTCCAAAATAAAAAATAAAATAATTTATTGCGAAAAGAAAACAGATTTGTGTAAAAATAATGAGTTGATAGACTTTGACACTTTTTTTTTTTTTAATTTTTAATTTCGGCGGCTTCATTTAGATATTAGAAAATGACTTGGCATCCCTCCGTCGTTGGAAATTTTTATTATCGGCAAATTCTGTCACGTGCTAATTCGACAAACCGGAAAAGTTTAGGCCTTCGTATGGGTTTCTGTTGGGCCGAACCAAAAGCCCATTTCTTATATGAAAGCCTGTCTGTATGAGTTGATGTTTGTCTATGCCCGGAAAACGTGGATGGCGAAGCACAAAATGATTGTCCATCCAAGTTCGAATTTCATATATATTGGGTTAACCATTATTTAAAAAATATTTTATTTGGTAAAGGTTAATGATATAGAAATACATAGAATGGGTTACATGACAGAGACATGGTTATATTTTTTTTTTTTTGATAATCCGCCATGGTTATAAGTTAAATGACAAAGTGGGACGAAGCATCAGCTGCATCGGCTTCCAACCAACAACTTGGATTGGTCAACTGGTTTCACCCTTTTGTCTGCCACCTTTACTTGTTAATTTTAATTTCATAACCAAATGTTTGATGAATATGCGAAATATATATTTTTCTTCAGTTTGTGTCTGCGAGTGCCTAATGCATAGGAATATAGACCCTGCGTTTTATGCTCGACACCTGTATATATGTCCAACCACATACATTGAATTATATAGAAATTGGTACCTTAAGAGTCAAATGTAGAGGGAAGAGTGGACTTTCTAATGTGTGAGTTTGGATAAGTCCAAAAAACACACATTGGAACATTGGAGTTAGAGGAAAACATCGTTGGAAAAAGGACACACAAACAACAAAAATGGTGAACTGAGCAACCATTATGCACAGTCTCTTCTATTCCCAAAGAATGCTGTTGTTTCTTCGTCTATCCACTGAACATTGCACAGCGACATGCACCACCCAAAACATCAAAATAGAAATACGCATTTCTTTAGTAGTCGGTCCATTAATTCGAAAAACAAATTTCCTCTTTTCTATGAAATTTCTTTTCTAACAAAACACTACGATGTTTCCTTATTTTTAGTTTCGGATGTTTACATTTAATTATATCACATATTCACAAGATCTTTTGCTCAGTTTAAATAAATATATGTGATGCGAGAATAAATCCTTTCGCTGCAATTAAATCTTAAAAATTTCTACTGATGGCATCGTAGATTTTTGTTTTACTTGCAAATTTTCCTCCGTTATAATACGGGGCCGGAATCATCGTATCATCAAATATTCAACTATACTATAAGCTGAACGGATTAGAAGCCGACAAAGCAAAGACATGCCCACTGCCATTCCCTTGTAAGTTTCTTCATCGGATGCAACAATTAATCGTGGACCAAATATATGTTACCATGGCTTAATTTGACTGATATTAATAAACCCAATTAATTATGTACGTGAGGGAATTAATGTTTTAATGTGATTGGAATCTCTAGAATTTGTTTTTTAAAAAAGGGATTAGGGGGTCTAATTACAGTTGTTAACACCAACAGAACATATCATGAGAAACAAATCGTGTTGTGTCTGTGATCAAGAGACAAATGAAATGCTCAGCGCAAACTTAGCCGACTGTTGAGATTATGATCCCACAATCATGGTCTAATCTTTTTCTAATCATTCCTTTTTTTTTTATTTGTAAATCAGATCTCGACCCTCCCCCTTTTTTGTTCCTTTTGCCACTGCCTCTCTTTTCTTTTTTTTTTTTTTTTACTATGGGATTATATATCAACCTTCATTCGTTTATCCATGTTCCAAAATAAAAATTCAATTACTAATCGAAAACTTTTTTTTATATATATTCTCGGTCGACATACTTCATCCTTTGACCCAACTTTATTAATCATCGTTGTATAAGAAACGTCCGATGAGTTCTCGTCTCTCGATAATCCACTGGCTTTCTTTTTTTTTTTTCTTTTTTTGTAGCTGTAGATGATCCACTGGCTTTAGGTATACTTGTATATCTGTGATTCAATCTATAGTTTAACCGCGAATAGTTGACAGCGCGAACGTTTTTACAATGTTTTAACAATTTTTATTTACATCTTGTAAATACATTATATATGTTCATATATGTATATATGTGTATATGTTCTGGTTAGCAAGCCATACCATCCATATGGACAATCTATTTCCAAAACACTTCCATCCATTCCATTTTGCATTCTGCTTCTAATATGCTTCATGTGTATACAGTATACGTATGTTTCATATATATATATATATATATATATTTATGTCGTCCCATCCTCGGACAACCGATTTGGGGTTTGACAAATCACAGTCCAAGGTTAATTTATTATGGTCCCCTTATCTTCCACGTTCCAATCACAAGTCTCCAGTAACATTTCAAATTTCATATCTTTCCCCAATTTATAATTTTATATTCGCAGCAGTCACCATTTACTGTATCCTATATTTTTTTAAACCTAACAATATCGGTCTCTCTTATAAAACCGGGTGAGATCAATAAATTATTTGCAATAAATGGAACTTTTTTTTATAGGCGATTTTTTAAAAAAAAATAAATACATGAGCAATTTCATCGTGAATAGTCGTTTGAGATAAATAATTGACGAATCATCTTCACTTGTGAGCAAGTACCCTAAAGCAAGATTGGACGGAGAATGAGGACATTACGAAGAGAAAGCGAGACAAACACGAGTTTAGTACAAAACGCAGCACGCTCCTTAATGACAAAAGTCTTTAACAAGACACTAATTGATATGGGCGCCATTGAAAGGCGAATCGGTCCAATATGCAATTAATGAATTACGCGATATCCATCTGAACCCCCAAAAAACGTGATCAATCTAAAGTGGGTTCACTGTGGGGAGTCCACATCTTATCCTGTACGAACCGTTGTGGGCCGTCGGATGGAGATCGTACGGCTGTGATTAGTTTGGGGTTAACATCAGCTTACATGTTTAAGCGGAGTCAACAAGAGTTATCAAGCTTAGTGTTCATTGCCAATACTGGAAATGTGATAAGAGGCCTCCGATCTCATCTCATACACTTAACAACGACCTTCAATATTTATTTAATTGAACCTAACATTTGTTTTGATTGAACCCCTTTTCACTTTGCTTTTTGACAATTAAACCATTTCTATCTCTTTTTTTTTCTTTTCATTTTGTTAAATTTATCAACATTTATTTTAAATTTATCGATCGACATGCACTGTCTGCGTAGAAACCGATATTACACTATGTTTGTATATAATATTTTAGGTTTACAGCTACCACATGGGACAACATTCTCGCGTTAGATACTGTACATATGTTTGTGAATGTCATTCGAGTTCCGTCGAGAAATTTAAAACTCAAGGAGGAACTAATCCTAGATGGACCGACAAGGGGTTCAAATGGTGCCATTAATGGAGGCGACAGCACTCGGATTCCCCACTGATTCGTTCAGCTTCATGTCTCTTTCTCTCTCTCCATGTCCGATATAATCATACTGTAGACTCGGAGTTGCATAACAATTGAGCAAACCTATGCACACAGGCACCTACATATAATGCCCTCTTCCTCAGACCCTCCATGCCCACTTCACTTCTCATCTCCCTCCCTCTCTCTCTCTCTCTCTCTCTCTCTAGCTAAACACATTATCACATTCTAAGTTGCACCAACGGTGCTTTCCTCTTTCTCCCACCCCACAATCTCTCTATCTCTCTCTCACCAGGGCTATGGACTTTCAACCAAACACGTCACTACATCTTAGCCTACCCAACTACAAGAACCAGCTAAACCTAGAACTCGTTCTCGAACCTTCTTCTTCTTCTCCGACATCTGCTTCGGAGCAGAGAGTGTTCTCGTGCAACTACTGCCACAGAAAGTTCTACAGCTCTCAGGCACTAGGTGGCCACCAAAACGCTCACAAGCTCGAGAGAACGCTCGCCAAAAAGAGCCGAGAGCTCATGAGATCCTCCTCCGGTGGTTCTTCCGCCGACTCCTTCTCCTTCTCCGGCCGCTTCCAGCTGTACGGCCCCGGCCATGCTTCCAGGGACGTTGCTCGTCGAGTGCCTGATGTCCATCAGGACCAGGACTTGGGCCATCTTGACTTGTCCCTCAGGCTTTGATTTTACTCTCTCGTCTCCGAGCCCTTGGTAATGTTCAATTATTGCCTTGTTTTGCTCTTACTGCTCACCGGAGAGTCGTTGATTAGGGCAGGAAAGACGGTCGAATTTTATCGAATGAAGTATATCTTACTATCTCTGTCAATTATTCTGTATCTTGGGTTCTGTAAAACCCTTAGGATCGGCCGTACGTAAGATATTTCTATCAAATGGGAACGAATTTTCCTAGGAAACATATCAGATTACCATCTAAGAAAGTTTGTTGAGTTTCATGTAACGTGTCTGGCTTCCAAATTAATGATTCCAAAAGATAACCCATTGAGATATGTTTATTTTAAACGTAAAAAATGGTACATAGAATTTAGAATATCGAATTTACTGAATTAAAGACATTTGAGTTTATGAAATTAAGAAAATTGAATGAAGTTTAGTTTTTATTTGTAAATGTTTTTTTAATTCAACACAAAATTTATGTTTCAAGCTTTCCTGATCACTCTTGATGATTGGTATTGCTTTGGAAAACCCAACGCGATTATGTGGATGTTGCTGAAATTAAGGGGGTGTGTGGTTTTTGGATTTGATTAAAGATGCAATTAAATTATAAAAAAATACCGACGGTATATGAAATATATAATTATATATAGTGGATGAATGTCGCTCATACACATTAATGATCATATTTCCGTGTGCCCCGACAAGCAGACAGGTTCTGGGGAACTATATGTATGTAAGAAATTTCTATATAATATTATGACAGAGCTATCGGCATATATAAAAGAACCCGTCAGTTCGATATTATTCAGGCATATGCGTATACTATGTGTATCTCCCTGTGTATGTGATGTGTATCCCACTTCTGAATCTGTATAAGCAACGTATTAATTCATCACGTCATCTTATTGAATCATATGTCGTTGCAATGATATTTTTCGTGGCAGCTACCGAATGTATTTTGTATATTTAGCAAGCTCTAATTATTTAGTAATTGTTGGAGACAATAATGGAAAGTAAATTCAGAGAATAAAAAAAAAAAATCGACGAATGCAACGACTAAACACAAAACTGTAGGGAATTAACATTAAATTACTTAGTATTAAAACAAAATAGTACTCTCGAGATACAAAGAGAAAAAATGTTCCTTTTTATTTGTTTTGGATCAAATGTGTAATTTTTTTTATATATTTCATTTAATTAAAATTTCTATTAATTAATTGAAAGTAATTTTCATTCATTAATAAATGAATTTTCAATAACTATTTTGACGGAACCCAAAATCGTATGTGATTCATATTTAATTAGGACGAGTAAAATTATTATATGAATTAATGGTTTCGTTTCATCCAGCACGTATCTTGAAATCTAGATCATTAATAATTAACTTCTAATTAGATTCCCACGTACATACATAATGCTGCCACACTTTGAAATCAATAATTCCATGTCCGATTCGAGCAAGTCACGAAGATCACTTCCTCGAGATAATGTTTCCCTACTTCAATACCCTAAAGGAAATAAAGAAGAAGACGAAATAAATAAGCTAACGTAATTAATATTACATATGATGAGACATTTGATTCCACGTTAATATATAGGATTAGACTCGTCAACTATTTGATGTTGATGCCCTCTATACGACCCACCACATACCATTCGCATCATTTTTGAATTACATAATCGATTCACGTCTATGTCAATGCAAACAAATTTGAATTTCATAACGATGACGTGGAATTCGGTAGCAATATTATTATTAAATGATGTATATATATCAGTTATTATTTTGAGGAGGGTAATAAAGTTTTAGACGTAATAAACTGACGGAAGTGGGGTCGGGAGGTGCCGCGCCAATGGAAGTCTTTATTAGAAACCAACCATGATGTTTTCAGCTCCATTAGCAACATTATTGTCGTAGGATTAATCGAAGTCATCTCTAGTCGGCTACTTTAATTATTATTATTATTATTTTTTCAAACATTGTCTTAATCAATTGGGAGTTTGATCAGACTCTTGGGCATGGGCTGATGGATCACCCATGAGAATGCAACTCATATATATATATGTGTGTGTGTGTCGGCATGGACCAAAAAGATCATCATTTTTTTCTTTTATGTCTTTTTTTTTTTGTAAAGAAATTTCTTTGTCATTTTATGCGAACAAAAATAGGCATTTGCGTGTGTGTGATATTTTAATAGTAAAAAAAATGTTGCATTCGGATAGTGGTAAAATTGCTCCACGAGTGGGTTTATATATATATATATATATATGGAATTACATTTTGCCTAATGTTCTTTGAAAGACTTGAAACCAGGACGAAGACTTCCATCTCAATCAACAAACTGATACATGAAAACCACTATACGATCAAAGGAGATGCGGTTAATTGGTAATTACCAAAACCGCCAATTGTAAACTGGGCTTAATGGGCTTGTTCATTAAAAAACATGAATATGGGCTTGTTAAAAGTCCTGTATTAGTCAAGCCCAAACTATAATTGGGCTTGGTAAGATATTGAAGATTCTTGGTCTATCACAAAACAGCTTTCATTCCCATGAAGTTATAATAAAATGGTTATTTGTACCCTCATTCTTATCCAGGTGAACCAGACACACAAATGTCCAAGAAATACCAAAAAAAAAAGGAGGAAATAATAGAAGAAAAAGGAGTAAAAAATCAAATCACGAATTACAAGAAAAAGTAAATAAAAACAGACAAAAAGAGAGGGGGGGGGGGGGGGT